GTGTGTGTGTGTATGTGTGTGTGTGTGACATTACCTCCAGGCTGGTTGAGTCTAACCCTGGACTGGAATTCGAGTCGACCACAAAGGGGGGATTTCCACGTGCCGCTCAGACGTCTTGTTTGGAACATAAAATGGTGCGTCATCCCGTGGCTGAATCCGCCTCACTTCCTCGCGGCTACGGGGCAAAAAGTGTTCAGCTGGCTGTGAAGTAATGCCTGACTCACACTTCAGGTAAGCGCTTAATCAATTTATATCATTAGAAAGTCTTTGAAGTTAAGGTCTGGGCTTCAGTGCCATCCAGTGGTGATATCAAACATGGGTGGTGATTGAAATTAAAGGGAAGGTTCGCAATTTTTTCAAGAATGCCTTAAAATGATCCTTGCATGCCTATATGTACATTTAGATCGCTGTTGGGTGCTTCAATTGTTTATACATTTGATAGAGGCCAGGAACATATAAATAAGTATTTTATTGTTAGGTAGATTTTGTCCTCCATTGCTAACATATAATATGCGTAAGAGAGTAATATCTTGACATTGGATTTAATCAGGTGGAAGAATAACGCTGAATAATAATACTTTTAACTCAAATGTGTGAATTATTTTATTCTATACTAATCCTCAGAAGGAAATGTTAAATTATGTTATTTAGCTAATGAGGAAAAAATATCCAGCTTGATCTTTTTTGTCTTCTCTCTATAACCAATGAGAACATAATGGGAACAGATTCTGTGTTGCAAACATGTTAAATGTAGGCTATATGAAAATACAATGTTGCCAAGGATGCTTTTTAACAGTTGCTTTGTGCTGCAATTACACGTCTCGTCTACTTGTAACTCTGAAGTTTAGGCAGCAGAATAATGCAGTCAAATATCTAATAAACTGCAAAACACCAGCTTAAAGCCTACTAACATGCGATTTCACAAAATAGGTCAATGGTATATGAAAGTTAACCGTCTATGAAGTGATGAGCAACATCAACAACAGCAATCTTTTTAGCCTAGGCTTAGTGTGCTTATAGCTTCTTCTTTGGTGATGGTGGCGTTTCATCTGTATAGTATTAAATATGACATTAAAAAGTGGTCAATAACCTCCTGTCGAATCATACTGAGGAGCCTCCGAGTTGTAGATATTAAGCAGCCTGTCCACTCACATTTGTCCTGTCTGTCCCTCACTGAGTGGACTGTTTCTTCTGTCTCAGAAACACAGGTTAGCTGATGTGATGATCCACCTCTCTTTAAAAAGGAGGAACATAAAAGTGATTAAAATGTGAAAATACTCACTCAATATCATTTAAAGGTCACCTATCATGCTATTTTTAGGCAATAGCATACAGTAGGTCTCAGATATATACAAATATATAAAAAACATGTCTATGAAGTGTTTTGCTCAAAATACCAAACAGATCACCCATTCTAGCCATGCCTGATACAAAATAAAAAAGGAGGGGGCTGAGCTCATGCGGGACCCAGCAGCTACTGTCTAAACTAAATACTGCCGTGATGAAACGCCATATCATGAATTATCAAGGATTATTTCTGAAACAGTATGGAGCTCAAAGGCTTTCTCTCTTGCCGGTTATACCACAAGGTGAGTTCCTTTTTATTTCCTGCTTCTTCACACACATGCTCTCCAGTACAGGTTAGCTCTGAGTGTTAGCGATGCTAATGTAAACATGCATCGACCATATTACGTCCAAAACAGTCGGGCATTGTTTCTGATAGCAACGTTTCTGATAGGGCCGTGGGTCCACATTTCAGATATGAAGTCATATCGGACGCAAATCTGGATCAGCTCCGTTGTAGCCCCGTTTTTAGAGATTTGGGTACGGAGGAAAAAAGAGAAGGTTTTATTTTCTGACTCTGCGTGAGTTCCCCGACACACCGGGGACACATGTTTATGTATAAAAGACATCAAAAAGTGCATTTTGCATGATAGGTCCCCTTTAAAATAATCTCTTTGATCAGGAAATATACTTAATGTGGAAAACACAGAACACAGTATGTTGAGTACCTGTTTACCAAAAGTTTGCAATAGTAAAATAATTCAGAGGACTCATATTTTTCATACCAGTTTCGAAATGTTGGACTCAAAAGCAACTGGAAATTCACTTTATTCAGGTAAATAAAAAGAAAGAAATGGATGGATATGTCTCACAAACTATATATGAATATCCACCAGGAGCATTCATGCATAAACGAATCAAAACAATTTGACTAAACGGACAAAATGCATCATCTACTCATACCAATATTACAGTGTATGACAATTTAATTTAATTTGCATTGACATATCTCTCGCGACGCAGATGTTCAACAGAGGGCAAAACAGAGGAATCATAGACATTATAAATAATACATCAGAATGACTTTATTCTGATACTACGGTAGATACTATCTACTAGTCATAATCCAGAAAATGTCAATTGTATTTTTGTAAAACAACCAAATGTCATTACTAAAATAAAACCCTTCACACATCAGGTTATCAAGACAATCTCTTTTTCCTACAACACATTTAGGCGATGGCTTTCAAATTACATAATCAAAAGAAAGAAAACAGTAGGATTAAAATGAAAGAAAAACAAAACAAACAACATGTTTACCCACAAAGACGGTTTTAAAATCTAATTCAACACTTTCACACCTAACTAAAACACATTTCAAAAGAAGACCATGAAAACAGACCCAAGCTACAAAACAAGCTATTAGCAAAGGGCGGATTAATCATACACATACAAATATATCTGTTCAGCTGCCGTACTAGTAAATAACAGAACTAATAATGTATTTACGGGAAGAAGTCTGTTTAGTTTGATAGAAGGGAAGAAGTTCCTGGGGATGGCATCTTGCTCCTATTAAAAGATATTATCGATATTCAAATTCTGATATTAAGGAACATTATAAAGGGTACTTTAAAGAAGAATTAACGTTTGCAGCTAAGGAATTTGAAATATCCTTTACAGAGAATCAGAGGGTATAACCGAGCGATTTAATTGGTTGGCGATGGTCTCCTGCTGCCAACATTTGTCTCATAAAACCCTTTATACAGGACCATAAACACATAAGCACGGGGCGATGTATGCTCATCAGGGCACTGATTTAGAAGAGTGTGAATAATTATGGGGTTGAGTTTTCTTTACAGCGTTTTCTGTGAATGTGACGTGATGTGACTGTTATTTTCTGATCTATACCTTATGATCATGTTGTAATAAATAAGGTAATCTGTCTTCATAGGCTTGTAACCAGTTCATTCAAAAGCACTGAAGAGGTGTGATTAGCACATCGTAAATATACTCCTGGAGCTCGTTAACAAATCTATTTGCCTTTTTGTATTTAATGTATATTACTTTAAAGAAAAGGGGCTTAAGTCAGGGCAGCTGTGTTGCTTTTATAGAGCTCATAATATTATCAAGAATGCTTTGTTTCCATGTTTTTTTGCGACAGATGATTTTATAATATCATGGTCATTAAAACCTCTCAGGTTATCACAGAAGGCAAGGGGATTGATATGAATTTCTACTCAAACAAGGCCATTTGAAAAAAGGTGTGCAAGTTCAGACTAATTTAACCAGAATTACATTTAAATTGAAAGTAAAAAACAAACAACAAAAGACAGACCCTCATCCAGAAATGTCAGGTGTTCTCCGTAAAAACACAAATAACCTACTTCTTAACTTGATAATATATGTAACACTAGTAAAGTACACATTCGTTATTGTATATGAATCTTAACGTTTGATATTGAGATTCAGTGAAATTATTTTAAACAGTTGAATATTTTCACGGCAGAAAACAAAAAGGTAACCCCTTGGTGGTGTAAAAAAAACGTTAATGCATGTTTAGCTGCAGTCATGACCAAACCAAAAGACAATTCAAAAATAAAATGGACTCACCTTACTCCAATACATGTTTTAAAACAATATGTATAAAGCAATTATACCGCACAAATGAAAAGTACAATCTTCAAGCACGTTTTGCAAGCTAAATATGTTTCTTTAAGCCTGACAGAAGCTAAGATAACTAAACAAAACTTTAAAAAGTAAAACATCGTCAGTCCCTCTGCATCAGCTGTCTTGACCATCCTTGTGTATACTGCTGCTTTAATTCCCATTTAATCTGACTCTGATGTATCTCAGTTAACAGTAGAGAGATTTAAAGGCACATTCTGCAATATCTCCTATTGCATTGTTGACTTAACAACAAGGACACACTTAACTTAAGTGTCATGGACGCAAAGCACCTGAAAGCAGCAGCAGCCTGCAACATGCGTCCCCTATACGTGAAGAAATATGACGTCATCTCACTTTCTACAGGAAAGGAAAGGAACGGCCTGTGTAGTTTGACAATTTCACTTTGTGCAATTGCTTTCATTTCTATAGCTGCACATCGACAATAGTTGCTAAATCTAGGTGCAAAAGCATCAGATTCGATGTCTTTGGACGCTCCTTTTGGTAACGGTACGTCCACACAGCAGCTTTAAAAAAATCTTCCAACGCTTCTCTGCCCATTGATTTTGAATGGGGGTGACGTCACGTTGCCTTGCTTTTCGCCGAACTGCATTGTGGGGAAGCAAAGCGAAGATTTCCAGGATTTTCAGGATTTTCAGGATTCAAAAGTTGAGCAATGTTCAACTTTTGAAGCTGAGCTGGAAGCGACAGCCAATCAAATCCCGTTTATGCAAATCTGACAGTACAAGCGCTAGCCAATCAAACCGCGTGTAAGCTGGGAGAGACAGACCGCAGTTCATTTCCTCATATTCCAAACGAGAAATTACGGTAGCAAATCACCCGGTTCTTTACGACCAGAACTATTTACCGGGATACAAACCGGAGGAACCAGGCATGGAGGGAGGTGGCAGAGACAGTGGGTGAAACTGGTAGGTTTTCGCCTGTTTGGGGAGTTTATATATTGCTCGCATAAAATCCCCGGGGTTTTTTGCTTTGTATGTCGGGGGCGGGAGATTCATGTGATTGGTTGTTGGTCGCGTTGCTCGCAAAAAATCGCCAAAGCTCTCAGACACGCCCAGCTCCAAGATTTTCAAGATTTTTTCAACGCTGCTGTGTGGACGTACCGTTAAACATATTCTGTTTGTGCCTGAAAAAATTACCTAGTTGACCAGATTTGATCTTTGGCTCTGAATATGTAATGACGTTGTTATTTATTGCATCAATACAATCATGCATGTGCAGCATTTATTACATGTAGGCGGCGCAAATATGAATAATTGCAGCATGTTGAGCAACATTCACGTGCAGCTTCTTAAAGGCGTGTGCAGTTCCTTTCCTTGCCTATAGGTGGTGCAGATTGCGATGAAGTGGGCAGCTTGTCAGATAAACATGAATGAGCGAGTTTGTGAGTTATGAACTAGCTCCAAAAAGGTGCTTCACATCTAAACTACTGAAAATGACCCCTGAATCACTCACGGCGTTACCCCTTTTTCAGTAACACTTAATAAGGCCGAAGAGGAAATCTCGCAGACTGTGCCTTTAAATGTCTTGCAGGAGGCAAAACATACAAATGCTTCAAAAGAACAACGTGTGTTACTTCTTTTCAATCTTCAGTGTTTTTACAAAACTCCAAAGGTCCTTGACCACCTGAGGAAGATATAGAGAAAAGGGGAGGGGGAGGGGAGGGGTAAAAGCAGAATAGAAAATAAATGATAGATCGTCCAAATGAAGTGCTACAGCGCATTAGAGTTATGACTCACTTTGACTACAGCATGATTTCTGTGCGTCTCGCCTGTGGGAACGCTGAGTTTAGCCGGGGAACGACGAGGGGTTGGGTGGGGGCAACAGTACATACCAGAGTATATGACTAGGTGCTCCAGGTCTGACAGATCTCAGGCTTGGCTGATGAAACCAAAGCACTTCCACAGATGTTTCTACACACTGGGATCAACAAGCCCCCCCCCCC